CAGTGAGGTCGTCCTTTAACCTCAATCTCCTGGGCTGCATCCTTGGTGTGGTAATGAGTTAATATTGCTGAAGAGTCTCAAACTAGGACGAAACAGCTGTCAAGTACCGCCTGATTTCCAAAAGTTATCTAAATGAAGTCAGCTCGTGATCACTTTTAAAATCAATCAATTCCCTGCAAAAGAACCCTTGAGAATTCTTATTCTTCTTATTTTTATTCTACTTTATGAACGATAGAGTAATCTTGTGAGATTTCTTTTGTTACAGGACAATAAACAGCTTTTCTGTTGTTGATCAAATGAAAACTTTTTGAGCATTACATGTAAACCTTTTGTTTCATTAATGAACTAACCAAAACATTAGATTCTGTACTTCACTCAATCCACCTATCTATCGGTCTATCTACCTATCATATGACAGTGAAGAATGGTAAACAATGCTAAGTTTTGTTCACGTGACAGCAGCGTCATAAAAAGGTGGACTAGTTGTTGTTGTTGTTTTTCTTGTATTGGTATGGTACTGTCAAAATACATTAGAGAGAATATTACCATAAACAAAAGAGTCTATTGCATTATGATACTTAATATGGTATCTGTATGTACCCGTATTACGTACACCTTATGTTCAACGCATCAACTGCACAGATCTTCCACGTTGTGCAACTTCTGTCCTTCATATTGTGTTTCTTTCACGTGTCCCATGTTTTTCCGAAAGGCTGAATGATATGCTTTCTCTAACGTCAAATCTATCTATCTCCTTGCTATTTGATATTTTTGCGCTGATGAACGTCTCTTTATATATAAACATACTAATGATAAATCTTATATCAGTAGCACACTGCACAATTAATTTCAACTAAACCCTGAAGTAGCTGTTTATCTTATTAGTCTGCGGTAGCCTGTTGGCAGTGTAATACTTGACGCTAGTATCAAGTATCTAAACCATGTAGATGATGACAGTCTCTGGTGTTGAAATTCAATATGTCTTCATTTCCGGTGTATACACTTGAGATCTTTAAACGTTAATCATCACCGCTTATTCCAGAGGTATTATTGGGTAACATCTTTTTCGGTAAACGTCTTCAGTTTCCAACTTTTGACATAAAGTTCTTTCCCTTTTGAGAATTCCTTCCACCCCCACCTACCCGCCCCAGATTTTTTCTAGCAACTTTTGCGATTGGAAAAATGTCGTGATAGGCATTGGGTTTTGTTAGCTGAACGTGATCCTCGAAATGTGAATTTATCTTGATTACGTGTGCTTTTAGTTGCCAACGTTTCAAATCCATGTAAGCCTGATTACATACAATGTGGACATTATTACATTTTTGAGAAGATATAGTTCATGGAAGAGATTTTATTTTTTTATTTATTTTGTGTGTACATTTTTATTTCAGCTAAAGAAATTATAGTTTGCATGAATAATTGATCTAAAGAAGAATAGGAAGGCTTAAATTTGATTGTTACTGGTGTTGTATTCATGTTAGGTTTAATTTCTACCGATAAACAATAGGTATGCTTGGTTGGAGGGTTTTATCATAAGCTAACATCAGTTGCAAAACCCCTGGATAACCTACAAGTACTACACTGCTGTTTCGTTCTGGTCTGAGACTTATAGGGAGTACGCACCCATTAACGAGGTTCCAACTCAGGACCTTCTGGTTACAAGGCTAGTGAGCTCGCAGATCATTAAGCTACTGGGTACCCATCCAATGGCCCATGAGTTCTAACTTCTGCCAACTAGATTGTGTTCCAGTGGCTTGATGGTTAACGAGCTCGCTTTGTAACTAAAAAAGTCCTGGGTTCGGTGGGTGCGTACTGCCTATGAGTCCTAAACTAAGACGAAACGGCTGTCCAGTACACCGTGTTGGTTTTCCAATGGTTTTCTAACTGATGTCAGCTCATGATAAAATCCTGAAACCGATCAAACAAAATTCCTACAAACTAATACCCGAAAACAATAATTATTATTCCCTTGGGTTCGGATTGGAATATAAGGCTTCAGCAGCACATCTCCGTTTGCCTTTTTTTCGTTTCCTCCTCAAATGATCTCCTCTATGTCACCCTAAAACTCAAGCACAACTCAAGGATTCCTATTCAAGTTCTACCTGATGGTCTGATTGGTGTACGATGTGACTCAATGAGGTCCTCAGTGTAGGTTCAGTCCATTTCAGTTTTCCTTTTAAAAACTTGTTAGGTGGTGAGTATCTGATGGATTCGTTGCTTGTTGTTCATTTTTTCTTCTCTTTTTCTATCTAATCATCAGCATCGAGCCAGAGAAGCCATCTGTTTATAAAAGTTTGCCACCTGCTGGACTTGCTTTTTGTGACATCCCATGTCTTTGAAGTATTTAGAAGCACTGACTTGATATCAGTACTGAAAATTAGGATCAATTTTCCTTAAGCTGACTGCAATAGACTTCCATATCTGTGCCGTATATAAGTGAAACGTATGGGGTAACTGAACTGACATAAATTTTAGTATAACTAATAATTCGAAACAAGGCGGAGGTTTCTTTCTACATTACCAACTATTACTCCTTTCTTTTCTGTTGTACACTTTTTGTGGCTGAAATGTGTTTCTGTCACCGTCACTATTTGTCTCTTGTATTGCCAGTAGAACATAAGACGTGTGGGCCACATCTCTATTTCATTCTGTTGACAGTGGTCTTTTATAGATGACTGCATGATTTATCACAAGTCACCGCTTCAACTGCTTCCTTCACCTAATCTCCTCCGTATCACATTTAGAAGCCCAGTTCACAACTTCCCTTTCAAATTCCTCTCAATTGAATGATTGACATGTGATGCCAATTGATGGGAAGGAACTTCAATGCGTGTCCAATGCATCTCCATTTCTTTCTCGGTAGTTTTCTGCACTACCAGAGTTCCGTGTTGCTTATTTATCCTTTCTGATCGGTCATCTGGCCATCACTAACGAGTCAACAAAGGCAGGTGTAAGTATGATTCTACAGCAGTCTGTCTGAAATGGTTTTAGATCTTGTTCATTTTGGTAGTTACTGTATATATATATATGAAAATATTTGCCTCATACCAAAAATTTTCACTGGGTAGATTGATCGAAGCCACCTTTCTTCTGTGTGTTGAATCAGGAACTTAGTAGGTGACTCATCAACTTGTAATTACACTATGGCGTGTAGTTCAGCGTGTGTAAACCAAAACTAGATGGAATAAGATATGGTTAAAAACTTTTTCCCATGTGTGTATTTATATTGCACAACTTAGCTTCCAAGTATGATGCGTTACGTCATAACCTGTAGACACTGTATTATTAGTATTATCCCCTTGGCTTCCCTGTGGTTTTAACAGCACACTTCCGTTTCAGTTTGTTATCTGACATTAAAATAACTTCCCTTGAATCGATATTTAAAATGTATTTAGGTTAAAGAATCCTCGTTTCTTTTAAGTAATAACGCTAAGTATAATTTAATCTAGGTTCACAAGACACTAATTATTCTAAACTTCAGGGATTGAAGATAATGATATCGATAAGCTTGATATTATCTGTTAGATACAATTATGCTACATCTGTTCGACTACCGAGAAATCCGGTTGAACTAGAAAAACTTGAAAAATCATCAGCCATAGGTCTACACACTACGCTATAGAAACAGGCTACAAAATTGATTTTGATAATATTGAAATAATCCAGAAAAACTTCAGAAATCACAAAGAACGTCCCATATCATCAGAAGCACTTCATATCAAGTGGAATCCAAATTGCCTGAATAGGAATGATGGACTGAAACAGAATCTGACCTGGTTACAACACCCCCCCTCCCCTCCCTCATGAAGTGACAAAATCAACACGAATGTGATAAGCAGGTTCACTATGTAAACACACACTGCTTTTATAATTTTACACACTGATCAAATCCAACAATCTACGCTTGGTTTTGTTATCTTTACCAACTGACCAACTCGACAAAGAAAAATGACCCCAGACTGACTAACGATGTTCAAGTTAGTAAACTTTGTTTTTAATATCATAACAGACGTACTATTACCTCTCTTATTTGATTTATTGATCTTCATCGTTATTTTGACTTTCAATATGTCCTTTTAACTTGACCTATATATATATGCTGAGATTTTATAAATTCCGGTTTAATAATACTTTGATAAAGCTATTAGCTGCATTAAATAGCGAAACGTCAGTAAAAACAACAATATCGTTTAGTTTTTCATTCATTTGGAAATACATAAACCCTTATTATAATGAATGTTACTTTGCTCGCTAACCACGCACTTTGTCTGAGATTCCATTCCTGGCCAATGGAATCCTCAGCCTTGCTTAACCAGTAGTTTTTTTTCCTTCACGTTCCCAGTAGAAAATAGGGCTTCAAGCTAGAGGCTTGAAGTCTCTGTAGCAGTGTTTAATTTTACAGAATGGGGTTGCTAGCTTCATGCTCAACCTTTCCTCTTTACCAGCATTATTTCTGGCTTAGCGAGGTAAAGTAGTGAGGCGTCGGCCGGGGATCGAACCCCGGACCATGTGCATGGTCGGCGAGCGTCCTAACCGCTGTGCCACCGACGCACACTTATTTTATTTTTTTATTTTTTAAAATTTTTGATTACAGCTTGATTCCACACTGTATTTTTGGTACAAGTATGGAAATTTCAGCATGGATATCGGTAGCCCAAATTTCGCAGGCCAACCATAGATATCAGGTGTGGGTCGGCAGGGGATCGAACCTCGGACCATGTGCATGATCGGCAAGAGTCCTAACCACTGTGCCACTGACGCACTTAATCAGTAGTAAACCCCTTTAAAGAGGGAAGGTTAGGCATAAGGCTGGCTACTTCACCTCATTAAAACGACACCAACAGTGAGAAACTTCAATGCTCAAAGCTTGAAGTCCAATGTTTCAATAGGAGAGCAATGGAAACAGACACAATCATCAATGAATGTTTACATAAACTGTTCTGAAAAATATCACATTTAATTAAGTATTGAATTGAATAGGCGTGTCAACAACAACTTACCACATTTATTTTCATCTGTATTATTTTCTCCACTTGACATTTTATCCGGTGAATAAACACTTGATTTTGACTTACATAAAGAATCAGGTCGTCTACACTTGAAATCGCCTTGAAATTCGCTTTCAGCGGATGAACTACAAACAATCGAGCTAACAGCAAAAGGTGATGTTGGTGAAGGCTGTGAACTTGGACTGAACTGTTGGACTGTGGATTTTACCAGTGACGGTAAATGTAGCTTACTTTGTTTTCGTGAGGGGGTGACATTAGTATTGTTATCACTATTGTTACTGTTAGTGTTATTATTATTATTATTACTGGGAATATTGTTATTCTTGTTACGTATATTATCAAAAAATCGATTGAAAGCAACCTTCAGATTAGTCATAAATGATGAAGTTCCACTTCCACTGTAATTTCCATGACAAACTGTTGAATCTGTTTGAGGGGAATTCTTTACTGGACAACCGCTCTCCTCTTGATGTGATTTATTCTGAGTGTTTGTTGTAAAGAAACCACCAGGTGAATTGACTGTCGGTGAGACTGTCTTCGAAGTAGGTGATAAATATAACGGAGATTTTAGCGTATCCAAATTTTTGCCTGTCATCAGCTTACAACTACTACTGGAGCGATAAAACCACGAAGGTGATGTGGATGGAGTTTGAGCACATAGTGTTGACATGGAAGAGATTGCTTCAGGGGAAAGAACGCCAGGATAATGGGTTGGCTTGATATCACCAGAATGAAAATCTAAATCCGAGTGTATCTGGCTATTATAAAAGTTTTGATCAGTTGGTCGACACGGTGATGTAGTGACTGACTTAGAATTTTTTGATCTTTTGTCACAATCTTTATTACTTTTTTGACAATCATAAAAAAGTTTTCCTCTTTTCTCATTTTTCCAAGATCTAGAACGATGAACTGGTTTCTTCACTTTGTTATCTGTAGTTGCGGTTACCTCAGACATGATTTAGTTGTTGGCTTGTTTTCACAGGTCGGAAGATTGATTTATCTAAGATGAAAGGGAAATCATGCAAAAAATATGTCAGGGGAACTTTTTCACTAAAAGATAGACTGAGTAATACCTCTTTAAGTCAGGTTTATTTTCCCTATTCGACGGAACATTTCGGTCTCTGTTGATATATACGCTGCTAGTACAGGTGCTTCAATCATGTCAGAGAATTAACATGAAGATAACTTTAAATAAATAACAACTGATAATTAAGTATTGGTTTTTAGGGATTTGGTTGATTGGTTTCAGGATTTCATCATGAGCTGACATCGGTTAGAGAACCATTGGAAAATCTGTATGGAGTACTGTGAAGCTGTTTCGTCCTAGTTTGGGACTCTTCATCAGTATGCACCCAACGGGGTTCGAGCCCAGGACCTTCTGGTTACAAGGTGAGCTGGTAGCTCATTAAGCCGCTTGGACCCGATCCAATGGCTCATGAATTCTAACTTCTGCCAATTCACGGTATAGCGCAACCGCTAGCTCACCTTTAACCAGAAGGACCTGGGCTCGAATCCCGGTGGATGCGTACTGATGAAGAGTCCCAAACTAGGACGAAACATCTGTCCAGTACTCCATGCTGGTTTTCCAATGGTTCTTTAACCAATGTCAGCTCATGATGAAATCCTGTAACCAAACAACTGATAATTGTTGGACAAAAGATGGCTCTCGCAACCTAAGTTGTTGTCTAGTGGATAATGCCTTGGTATTTCGAAGTTTCGAAGTCGTGTGATTATCATTGATATGATTATGAACAATAAATTTTTTTTTGTTCGAAGCATCTTCACATCAAACTAATGTCCTACCAAAAATTAAGTGTGAGTATGTGTGTTTAGCCTGAAGTGAAACTTGTACTCATATTGTGCTGTCCTTATTTTCAGTTTTCAACTTCCTTCAACTTAGTTGGGCAAGCTCAGCTGATGCTAATATACCAGTGGATGCCATATTCATAGACCTTAGCAGGGCGTTTGACAGGGTTTCTCATTCAGGTCTTCTAGTAAAGTTAGGTAGTCTGGGAATCAATAAAGTGGTTACCGACTGCATTCAAGACTTTCTAAAGGACAGAAGACAAAGAGTACGAGTTAACGGGGTTTTATCAACATGGGAATCGGTTAAGAGTGGCGTTCCTCAGGGTACAATTCTAGGCCCACTTCTTTTCCTGATTTATGTTAATGAGATTCCATCGGTATTTAAGTCATCCTGCTTACTGTTTGCTGATGACATCAAGATATGGAGGGCTTTGCACGATGACAGTGATCAACTTGCTTTGCAGGAAGATTTAAACTTGTTAAGTGATTGGTGTAAGCACTGGGCCTTGGAGATTAACTTAAGCAAGAGTGTAGTTATGCATGTATCTCATAGTCACGTGCACAATTACTCATGAATGGCATTACTCTCCCAGTGGTCACTGAATACAAGGACTTGGGAGTGGTTGTGCAGCATGACTTGAAAACAGCAACAAACTGTAGAACTGCAGCCACTAAGGGTTTTCGAATGTTATGGGCCATACGCAAGGCTTTTGCGAACTTTGACGCTGATATATTTCGTATATTATATCCGACTTATATCAGACCTCATTTGGAATATGGGATCCAGGCAGCGAGCCCGTGTTTCAAATACGAAATAGACTTATTAGAAAGGGTGCAAAGAGTAGGAACTAAGCTAATAAAGGGTTTCTCAACCCTGTCATATGAGGAGAGGTTAAGTCAACTGGGTTTATTTCCACTGTCATACAGACGACTTAGGGGTGACCTAATACTAGCATACCGTATCCTAAGAAATGATTTTGGAGCTAATTTATCTAAATTATTTCTTCCTTCTAGCACCAACCAATTGCGAGGACATCACCTCAAGGTTCAAAAGCCGCGGTCGAATCGTCTGCGTCTGGAGATCCGTTTTTCCGCATCGAATTGTGAACCATTGGAACTCCTTACCGGAACACGTCGTATCAGTGCCATCCGTTGATTCATTCAAGGCGAGATTGGACCTCCTGTATGCAATAAATCGAAAGGATTAACACAGGCATATAACCTACTATCCTAAATAAATTGTAAACTGTAAACTGTTAAGAAAAACAAAATATATCACAGTGTAAATAGGTATCTAAGGTAAGCGTGTTTACTGTGATACAACTCAGTGTTCTCAGCTTGATGTTCTGTTTCTTATTTTTGTAAGTGTTGTCAAATGTTACACTGTCAAAATTCAAACATTTCAATATTCCAGGGTATGTGTGTAAAGTCCAGAGAAAAGTTAATGACCTCTTTAAAGGTGGACGAACAAGTTTATTTTGTAATTTGATGAACTCAAAAGTTTAAATATAAATAATATCGTATCATATAATGAAAGTAATCCAGAATGATCTCATCCGACTGAATGTTATGATCACTATTGTGTACAAATTCTGTTCAATAGATTTCAGTTACTACATCAGCAACCAGTCCGACTGAATATGAATGAATATGAGGTACATCGTGCAATAAATTTTATTATTGAGAAAGATAAAGACTCTAGTATTTCATTTTTAGACGTCCTTATGACCAGAAAAGAAGATGGCACAATAAGAAGAAGTGTAAATAGAAAACTTACATCAGTGGGCCAGTACACATATTTTCTCAGCTTTGTGCACTTAAAATACGAGCGTAATTTGATAAAGTGACTGGTTCACAGAGCCAGAGCGATTTGCTCGGACGAATGTCTTGATGAAGAACTGAATAATATTAAACGGTTGCTAAGTGAAAATAGTTATCCTGAAAAGTTTATTGATAAGAATCTGAATCTGAAACCAAAGCAGCCCGAGTTACCAACAGTTCCAAAAACGCCTTATTCTTACAGATGCAGTTACTTGGGGACAACACCAGCTAGATACTAACACAGTGCCTTAGAAATGCGGTAAAAACAGCATTCCCTGCTGCTGAATTACGTTGTATCTTTAAGACCGCTTCTCTTCTGAGTTCGGGAATCAAAGACAAACTGCCCAGTTTCGCCTCTTCCATGTGTATCTACCAATTTAACTGCTCCTGTGGAATGAGCCAGTTATATAGGCGTGTTTCTCGTCAAATTTCCGAACATCACCCTGTGTGGTTAAGTAAAGGACAAACAAAATCTATTCACAGCGCTATTCTATCTCATCTTGTGAATACAGAACACAAGACAGATGTTAACCAGGCTTTCGGGGTCATTTACCGCATACCTACGAATCTAATTTTGCCTTAAGAGTTAGATTACCAAAATATTGCTGAGGCTGTGGGGATCCATAATAACAAGCCTAATTTATCCATCCAAAAGAAGTTAGTTCAGACATTATCCTTACCCGCTTGGCATCCAGGTTTGAATAATCCTGAGTTTTTGTGGGATTTCCCTAATTTTAGTTGATATTCTATTCGCTATTATATCTTATGACTATTATAATTTAAGCATCTTTAATGAACTGTAATTGCATTGATCATACTTCACAAATCGATATTATTTAAAAAACACTAATATTGTTATTAACTACCAGTCTTGAATATTTTGTGTATATAAACATATATATAATTGTAGAGCCGGTAGAGGAATTTATCGAAAAGAATATTCTTTGCTTAATTATTTTGTGTTTTATAGATGTCGAAATGAATATTTTTGCTATATTGAATATGAAGATTTCAGAAGAATTGTAGATGATCACTGTCATCCGACTCTAAGGATATGTAATACGTTGGCTTAAACACTCAGCTTCCACCCAAATGAGTCTCAGGTTTCAATTCCACCTAACCTAGTTCATTTTGAGAAAGTGAGCTGGTAGTATCACTAACCCTGAGATGGTAAGTATGGAGAACCATCAATAAACATTGACCCCCAGACTAAGCCCTGAATGCAATCAAGATGCTAAAAACTGGAAAAGCAGCAGGACCGGATGGAATCCCAGCAGAAGCATTGAAAATGGACCCAGAGACAACGGCGGACTTGATGACGCCGTTGCCGGAGAAGGTGTGGAGAGAGGGCAAAGTACCCGAGGATTTGAAGAAAAGATACTTATTCAAACTACTAAAGAAAGGAGACTTAAGTCAATGCAAAAACTGGCGCGGAATTATGCTCCTGTCCATCCCAAAAAAATACTAAGCCGCATCATCCTGAAAAGAAATCAAACAAGCCAACCTAGATGAAAAATTTCGTCCGGAACAGGCCAGATTCAGGAGAAACAAATCATGTATTGATCAAATCGCCACACTACGGATCATCATTGAACAAAGCTTGGAATGGCAGTCACCTCTCTATCTCAACTTCATCGATTTGAAAAGGCCTTCACTGGACAGCGTCGATCGAGAGGTGATCTGGTAACTACTTCGCTACTACTGTGGGGTCCCATCGACAATTATACATCTCATCCAACAGTTATACGACAATGATGCATGCCAAGTAATCCACAACGGGAAACTTACGGAAGCCTTCGAAGTGAGGACGGGAGTGAGGCAAGGCTGTCTATTATCGCCAATGATCTCCCTGATTGCTGGAAGTAGACTGGATAATGAGACAGACAACGGGCAATGAGGAAACAGGCATAAAAAGAACTAACACAAATAACTTGGAGGATCTGGACTTCGCCGATGATATATGTCTGATATCTCAGAAACAGGAAGATATGCAAGTGAAAAGCAACAAGCTGGCTGAAGAAGAATCCAGAGAAGATAGAACTTCAAGTGAACATAGATAAAACAGAGGTGATGAAGATTCCTGGCCAACACCAACAGCCACAGAACACAACAACAGACAACAGTCAGCCAGCATGAATGGGAGGAACCTGAAAGAAACAGCCTCCTTCACCTACCTACCTACCTACCTGGGAAGCATCGTGTCAACTACAGGCGACGGAACTGATGAGGATATCACAGCCAGAATCGGAAAAGCAAGACAAGCTTTCATTACTCTCAAGTCTGTGTGGAGGTCAACATCACTCATCTTCGAAAATAAGATCCGGATTT